AGAAATTCCATATGAAACTATTTGGGCCTGGTGTTTTTTGTTTGTTTGAGACAGAGTTTTGCTCTGTCACCGAGGGTGGAGTGCTGTGGCACAAACATGGTTAAGCGCCTGCCTCAACTTCCTGGGTTCAAGTGACCCTCCCACCTTGGCCTCCCCAGTAGCTGGGACTACAGGTGCATAACACCATGCCTGGCTAATGTTTTTCTTTTTTGAGGTGGAGTTTCACTCTTGTCACCCAGGCTGGAGTGCAATGGCATGATCTCAGCTCACCCCAACCTCCACCTCCTGGGTTCAAGCAATTCTCCTGCCTCAGCCTCCTGAGTACCTGGGATTACAGGCACGCACCACCATGCCCAGCTAATTTTGTATTTTTGGTAGAGACAGGGTTTCAGACCAGAGTCAGGCCGGTCTCAAACTCCCAATCTCAGGTGATCTGCCTGCCTTGGACTCCCAAAGTGCTGGTATTACAGGTGTGAGCCACTGCGCCTGGCCAGACCTTTTTTTTAAAAAGCAAATTACAAAAGTGTAATAATACAATACTTTTTGAGTTAAAAGTAAACATATGGACCAGGCACAGTTGCTTACGCCTGTAATATAGTAATCTGGGAGGCCGAGGCCAATGGATCACTTGAAGCCAGGAGTTCGAGACCAGCCTGGCCAACATGGTGAAACCCCACACCTCTACTAAAAATAGAGAGAAGGAGAAAAGAAAAAGAAAAATTTCCAGCCTGGCCAAGACAGTGAAACCCCGTCTCTACTAAAAATACAAACATTAGCCAGGCGTGGTGGCAGGTGCCTGTAATCCCAGCTACTCAGGAAGCTGAGGCAACAGAATCGCTTGAACCCAGGAGGTGGAGGTTGCAGTGAGCCGAGGTCGCGCCACTGCACTCTAGCCTTGGCAACAGAGCAAGACACTGTCTCAAAAAACAAAAAACAAACAAAAAAAGAAAAATGTGAAAACCTGGAAGAAATAGGTAATTTATAGAAAAAAAATACACTAAAATTAACCTCAAAGGAGATGAAGTTTAAAGAAATGATTTACATTAAATCAAGAGGAAATTATCAAAAGCCACTCCTGCTCCACAAAAAAGCACTAGACCTGGACCTGGGAACTTCACAGGAGAACTCTACCAAATCTTTTAAGAATAATCCCAATATTATTTAACTTTTTTCAGGGCGCAGAAAAAGAAAACTTCAAAATTATTTTTATGAAGTGTTATAAACTAAACTGTGTCCACACAAATTCAAATGTTGATAAGCTAACCCTCAATGTGACTATATTTGGGCCAGGCAGAGCAGCTCATGCCTGTAATCCCGGCACTTTGGGAGGCCAAGGAGGGTGGATCACCAGTGGCGAAAACCCATCTCCACTAAAAATATAAAAATTAGCTGGGCATGGTGGCACACACCTGTAATCCTGGCTACTTGGGAGGCTGAGGCAGAAGAGAACCTGGAAGGCAGAGGTTGCAGTGAGCCAAGATCTCACCACTGCACTCGAGCCTGGGTAAAAGAACAAGACTCCATCTCAAAGAAAAAAAAAAGTGACTTTGGAGAGGGACTTTCCAGAGGTAATTAATGTTAAATGGGGTCATAAGAAGGGAACCCTAATCTGATAGGACTGGAATTCTTTTAAGAATTGGGAAGAGCCAGTCTGGGCAACATAGTAAGATGCCATCTCTATAAAAAAAATTTTAAAATTAACCAGATGTGGTAGCATGCAACTCTAGTCCCAGCTATAGCTACTCAGGAGGCTGAGGTGGGAGGATCACTAGAGCACAGGAGGTCAAGGCTGCAGAGAGTCAAGGTCATACCACTGCACTCCAGCCTGGGTAACAAAGCAAGACCTGTCTTTGAGGGGGCAAAAAAAAGGGGGGGAGAAGACACCAAAGATATCTCTCTCCCTCTCTCTCTCTCTCTCTCTCTCTCTCTCTCTCTCTCTCTCTCTCTCTCTCTCTCTCACGCACACAGAGCAAATGACTGTGATGACACAGCAAGAAGGTAGTCCACAAGCCACGAAGAGAGACACCTCAGAATGAAGCCAATCCTGCCAATGCCATGATCTTGGACTTCTAGCCTCCAGAATTGACAGAAAATAAATTTCTGCTGTTTAAGCTATCCAGTTTATGGTATTTTCTTATGGTAGCCCTAGAACACTAACACATAAAGAAAATACAGGCCAGGTGTGGTGGCTCATGCCTGTGATCCCAGCACTTTGGGAGGCCAAGGCAGATGTATCACCTGAGGTCACGAGTTCAAGACCAGCCTGGCCAACATGGTGAAACCCCATCTCTACTAAAAGTACAAAAATTAGCCAGGCATGGTGGTGCTTGCCTGTAATCCCAGCTACTTGGGAGGCTGAGGTAGGAGAACCAGTTGAACCCAGTGGAGGTTGCAGTCAGTCAAGATAGTGCCATTGCTTTTCAGCCTGGACAAAAAGAGCAAAACTCCGTCTCAAAAAACAAAATTAAATAAATAAGTAAATCAAATATAACATTGATACCAAAATTTGATTTTAAAATACCTAAATAAAAATACTAGTATCGGCCAGGCTCAGTGGCTCAAGCCTGTAATCCCAGCACTTTGGGAGGCCAAGGCAGGTGGATCACGAGGTCAAGAGATTGAGACCATCCTGGTCAACATGGTGAAACCCCGTCTCTACTAAAGATACAGTAATTAGCTGGGCATGGTGGTGCGTGCCTGCAATCCCAGCTACCCAGGAGGCTGAGGCAGGAGAATTGCCTGAACCCAGGAGGTGGAGGTTGCCGTGAGCTGAGATTGCGCCATTGCACTCCAGCCTGGGTAACAAGAGCGAAACTCCGCCTCAAAAAAAAAAAAAAAAAATACTAGTATCACATAATATTAATATAAAAACTCAAAATATTAGCAAACAATATATAACTTCAGGAATTAAGGAGCAGTTTAATATTAGGAAATCCACTGGAATAGATTTATAAATAGATCTAAGGAGGAAAATCACATGATCATCTCCAAAAACACTGAAAGTGCATTTAACACTCACTCCTAATTTTAAAGACAAAATAAACAACAAAAAATATTTAAAACAGAAACCAGTTGTAACTTCAAAATGAAAAAAGATATAAATTAGGAAACACTGACAGCAGTCTTGCTAAATTTAGAAACAATACAAAGATGCCCAGAATCCCAACTCTGACTCACCATTACATTTGATATATAGGGAGCTGTGGCCAATGCAAGACAAGGAAAGAAATGACATGTAAAGTCATTGGAAAGATAAAACTTTATTTTTAGGGACGGAGTCTTGCTCTATCGCCCAAGCTGGAGTGTAGTGGCATGATCACAACTCAGGGCAGCCTCAAACACCTGGGCTCAAGCAATCCTCCCATCTCAGCCTCCCAAGTAAGTAGGACTACAGGTGACTGCCACCACACCCAGCAATTTTTTTTACTTTTTGTAGAGATGGGGACTCTATGTTGCTCAGGCTGTTCTGAGCTCCTGGTATGAAAGGATCCTCCTGCCTTGGCCTCCCAAAGCACTGGGATTATAGGCATGAGCCCTGCGCCTGGCAGAACTCTTATTTATACATAGACAGTATGCAGCCACGTTTTTAAAACCCTGAAGAAATGACAGAAAAAAATTGCAAACAATTGGAGTATTTAATAGGTAGGATATAAAACTTTATAACAAGAATCAAGAGCTATCATATATACCTAAAGAAAAAGCTAGAAGATGGCACAGTAGGAAGCACCAGGAATTGGTCTCCCGACCTGGGCAACAATTGCCTGGCAGAATCTGTCTGATGGAACTATTTTGACTCTGTGGTGTCTGTTGAAGAACTGCAACTTCCAGAAGAAGGGCTGGACTGAAAATTGGAGTTAATTTCATCTCTTAGCACAGTAGCAGCTACCCATCCCCAACCCCAGCCCCATGACAGACAGTTCTGCAAGTGTTCCTGGAGCAGTCTGCACACAGCTTACAGGAGCCGGAGTGGGCATAAAAGGACACTGTCCTCCAAACATTGAAAATCTGTGCTTGGATTGTTGACTGCTCTTCTGATCACAGAGGTGCAGACAGAGATGGGTGGTCACTGTTGTTACAACTCACCCCATTGTTGCGAGGCTCTCCTGCTTTGGGCTGAAGTGTCTTCCAGGCAATTTAAAGGGCTGACACCTTCTTACCATCTTCATTTTTGTCTCTTCTTCTACTTTTGGGAGTCAGACAATAACTAGGACACTCAAAAACAACTGCATATACTGGGAAAATTCGAAAGTGATTGCACATGTCCCTGCAAAGGCTCAGAAAAGATCTAACGGAGACCTTAAGGTTACACCTCAGGCTAATCCTTGGTGCACAAAGAGCCTACAAAAATAAAAAAGACAAAAACAACAGGAAAGAGCAAACCCTAGGGAAGAGAGAGTATCTACTTTCTAGAGTTACTAGAGAGCCATCATGTTGTGTTATGCAAGGACCACTGAGAACACAGTGTACCCATGAGAAAGGCAAAGGCCATCTACAGATGCCCTTAGTTTGCCCAACACTGTCCCCTTTATTTAATGACCCAGGAATCTGCTGCACCAAGATAAGGTACAAATGGCTCCTATCTCCCACAGACCTCCACACATACACTTCAACCTTCTAGGATGCTCTGTGTACTCTCCTTTCTCTAGAAAGACAAACTCCCTCTGAGCAGAGGTCCCGAAAGATACTCAACAAAGATCACTCTGGCTTCATTCTAGAGTCTGGGGACATGGCCCATAATTTATGTTCCTCAGAGGGCCTTCTAAAGACTTCTGAGCTCCGCTGGCCCTAACCATTCCTATCTCCAGCCCTTGATTTCAAGTCCATCTGTGCCACTAGGCTATCTACAGCCACTAGGTCTTTCCAGAACACGCTACTCAGTAGCCACTGGTCCTGTGCCCACCTGTGTTGTCTGACATGAAGGGCTTCCTCATTAGGCCGAAGCACAGTGCCCATGTATGTGGCTGACTAGGACAGACAAGATAAGCAAATGTGGCACTTACAGAGTGTATGATGTCCACCATGTCGTAGGCTTTGGTTGATTCCAAAGGGACAATTGTGTCGAGCTCAGGAACCAGACGGTCACTTTAGGCAGAAAAAAATCAGGTATAGTCAACATAGGAAGAGCCAGTTACCTTTTGTGGGAGGGGATAGGGAAAGTCATAGGGACTGGGCCAGTTCTGTCCTTGCTGGGCTTGCAAAGCAGTCACCAAAGAGTCATTCCTTTGCAACCAAGACATTAACCGAACCTGGGACAGCATCTGGTTTTCTTTTAGAGGAAAAAATGAGCTTATTTCCCTGAATGTTACTCTTTCATTTATCTTCTCTGAATATCTCCTACATTCTGGGTACTGTGTAGGGCACTGAAGAACATTATAGTGAATAAGACACAGCCCTGGGAGATCCCAGCCCAACTTCCCAGAACATTAAAAGAACAAGGACTTAGAAATGCAAAGTCAGAGCTCTACAGAAACCACTGTGAGTTCACATTCCCTGTTAGAAGATTAATCTGCTAAAGCTCCTTTAAAAAAACAAAACTGCAGGCCCTCTGGGCAAAATCACCAGAGATGAACCTGTCACATGCAGGCTCATAGACTCTCTCCTTCCTCCTGCATCCAGGTGTCTCAGCAGAAAAGCTAAGCCCGAGTCCACTCCCACTCTGCAGGAGGACCCAGCAACGTTCCCCTCTCCAACCTCTTCTCTCCAATAGGCTTTCATTCCTTCCTGCCCAATGTGGGCAGCCAGGGCCTACAGTGACACCTTGGCTGAGGTTTGGCCTTGGGTCAGGCTAAGTGTCCATCAAGCTCAACTTCCCAAAAAGCTCTAAAATGGGGAACTGAGGGTGGCCGCACCTGCTAATAAAACCTTACTTTTCATTTGCCATATGTATATATATCTCCCTTGGAATCGCATGCAGAGGAGGTATGGCTGGGTCAAAGCAGGCTACTGGGCTCCTGGGCCATAACACCTTCAAATGATGTCCTACACCCTTCAGAAACTCCAAATAGTATAGACACTGAGAAACGCTACACCCACAGCTCTAGACCTTGTGACCATTCTCCCCTCCATGACTACACACAGTGGGCCACTGCATATGTCCCTTGAGTGGGCAGAGGCAGGCAGAGTGAGGCCCTGGCAATAGGACTCTTCGGAGCATCCCTGGCCCAGACCAGGCCCCACAGGAAGAAGTCCAAGTTTAAGCCACAGGATAATGTCTGAAAATGACCTCTTCCCAAAGAATACAATTTCAAATCCCTTCTGCAGAAGAAAGTCCAGGCCAAGTGAGTGCTTGTAATTTGGAGAGGAAATAAAATGGAACAGCCGAAGGTGTGGAGCAGCTCCCGGGCAGGGCTTCCACCTTTCTCTCTGGTGCCCCCACAACAGGTGGTAGACTCCAACAGCAAGAGAAAAGGTCTTTACCAGATGGCCAGCAACACACCCGTCTTCCCCAGGACTGTCCCAGCCTCTGGCTACAAGCAGTATGCATAAACATGTTTTATGAAGGGCATGCTGTTTGCATCATTTTACATTTATTTATTTCAAAAGGACAACTAGGTCAGAAAAAAGGCAGGTACAGTCAGCATAGGAAGAACCATGGCCCTTCCTTCCTTTTGAGGGGAAGGAAAGGAAATGGGGGAGCTTGTCATGGGAACTATGCCAGACCAAAAAAATCTTCGATCTCCAATTCTAGATAACTTCAGAGTTTCTTAGAAATTAAAAAAAAAAAAAAAAATTAAATGCTTTGGGCCACTCTTCACCCCCAAGATATCCATCAGATATTACAGAGAGGAAAAAGGTAAATAAAATCATCTTTGTTTGCTCCTATATCTAAACATGACATTATCCCCATACCTGGGAGCCACTCCACCAAACTCTGCTACAACCTGCCCAACAGGGCAGACCCTGGAAGTTCTCTCAGGGTAAAGATGAGCAAGCTACACTGCAAAATGAGAGAAGGTGCACCAGCCTACAACCCACCTGGGATCATGGCACTCACGGACCGGAGCCGGGTCCTGACTGCTCAGGGGCAGGTAGTCGAAGAAATCCCGGAGATTACACAAGGCATCAACATCATTCTCAAAAGCTCTATGGGCCACACCTAAGAGAACAGGGGGCATATATGATGAGTTAGGGTACCAGCCAGCCCAAAGCGGCTGCTTCATGACTGACTGTGTCCTTCTAGGACATGTCTATAGCAGACTATGCTGATAACTCTGTTCTCCCCACCCTCCACTGAGGATGTAATGCCACAGAACACATACCTTTAGGCTGATCCTTCAACTCATGCAGTGCCTGTTCCTTCTGTTCTGTACCCACACTCTCTACAGTCATACCTTTCTTTATTTAGGTCCTTGCTCTAATGTCACCTCCATACCCACTCCCAGACCTTTCACTTTCCATCCCTATACCATGGGGGAGTTCTCCTGTACTTTTCCCTGAAGCACCTATTTCCCTGTTTACTGCTGACATCTCTCCTGAAATATCAGTTCCAACAAGGTACTATCAGGCCTACATATCACTACAGGCCCCGATCAAGAATAGTGCACCTGGCAAACAGGTGCTCAGCAACAGTGGAAGGAAAGGAGGGAAGCCACCTGCCCCTAGTGAGGAATCAAGCCATAATTCTCTAAGAGCATTCTGAAATTACACAGCAGCCAAATAAGGCCATAGACAGATGGAGAAAGTAGAGCCAAGAACTCTCTCCCAGGTTCATCCCACCAGTCTCCATTCTTCCACCACTGTCGCTACAGTCTCTTGTCCACAAAGCTGCCAGACAGAGCTTTGTAAGTCAGATATGTCATGTTTTCTACTCCAGTGATCCTCCTTGTTCACTGAGCAGTCCAGTCACTCTCCCACCTCAGAGCCTTTGCATAAGCTATTCCCCCTGCCTGCAATGCTCCCCACTTACATATCAATGCAGTTAACTCTAAAATCTGCTCAGCTCTTAACCTCAGTGAGGCTTACAGTTACCACCCTGTTTGAAACTACTACAATCCAGGCCAGGTGCAGTGGCTCACGCCTGTAATCCCAGCACTTTGGGAGGCCAAGGCGGGTGAATCACGAGGTCAAGAGATCGAGACTATCCTGGTCAACATGGTGAAACCCCGTCTCTACTAAAAATACAAAAAATTAGCTGGGCATGGTGGCATGTGCCTGTAATCCCAGCTACTCGGGAGGCTGAGGCAGGAGAATTGCCTGAACCCAGGAGGCGGAGGTTGCGGTGAGCCGAGATCGCTCTATTGCACTCCAGCCTGGGTAACGAGGGAAATTCCGTCTCAAACAAAAAAAAAAAAAAAAGAAAGAAAGAAACTACTACAATCCCAGTCCTCTTTACCCTGTTCTACTTTTTCCATAGCACATAATGCCTTTTTACATACTACATAGTGTACTCATTTATAATGTTTATTGTGTATCTCCTCTACTAGAATATAAGCCCCATATGGGTAGGGGGCTTTCTTTTGTCTGTCCACAAATGTATTCCTAGCACCTAAAATAATGCTTCACACAATGAATATTTGTTTGGTTTTCTTGTGGTTTTGTTTTTTTCTTTACATTTTTATTTATTCTGTTTTTAATTTTTAATTCCTTTGCTATTTGCCTTTTTCCACATATTCTAAATGAGTATTTGTTGAATGAATAAAAAGCATTTTCGGCATGTTCATTCAAGGAATATTTATAAATGGGTACAGCCATTGTGGAAGAGAGTCCAGCAGTTCCTTAAAAGCATCGAATAATCATTTAACTGAGAAATCAAAGAGAAATAAAAACATATGTCTACCCAAAAATGTTCATATAAATATTAACAGAGGCATATTTAAGACAGCCAAAAACTGGAAATGACCCTGTGTCTATTAACTGGTCAATGAATAAACTAGATGTGGTATATCCACACACTGGAGTATTATTTGGCCATAAAAAATGAATAAAGTACTGATTCATGATACAACATGGATAAACCTTTAACAACATTATAAGTAAAAGCAACTGGTCTTGACTGAACTTCTGCTTGCAAAGGAAGGGGAAAAAAAGCAACCAGTTACGAAAGATCATATATTGTATGATTCCATTTCTAGGTAATGTCCAGAATGAAAAAAATCCACATAGAGACACAAAGTAGCCTGGTGATTGCCTAGAGCATAAGTATTTGTGGTGAAACGCAGAGTGACTGCTAATGGGCACAGGTTTCTTCTTGGGGTGATGACAGTGTCCTAAAATTGATTGTGGTAATGATTACACAACTGTGAATATATTTTAAAACCACTTAATTGTACAGTATAAATAGGTGTTTAAAATGTACGATATATGAATTACATCTCAATAAAGCTGTTACCAAAAGATAAAAAAAAAGAAAGAAAGAAAAATATATGTAAGTATAGAGCACCTTTTTGTGCCTTGCCCTGGGGATACAGGGCCAGGTGCATCAGACACAACCCATCAAAGAGCCTCAGGCCCGGAAAGAAAACCACATACTACCCTACAATCAAAAAACAAATAAGGCCAGGTACAGTGGCTCATGACAGCAATCCCAGCACTTTGGGAGGCCGAGGCGAGTGGATCATGATGTCAGGAGATTGAAACCATCCCGGCTAACCTGGTGAAATCCCCGTCTCTACTAAAAATACAAAAATTAGCTAATCGTGGTGGTACGTGCCTGTAGTTCCAGCTACTTCGGAGGCTGAGGCAGGAGAATCACTTGAACCCAGGAGGCGGAGTTTGCAGTAAGCCAAGATCACACCACTGCACTCCAGCCTAGGTGACAGAGGGAGACTCCGTCTCAAAAAACAAAAAACAAACAAACAAAAAAAGCACTTAAGATTGTGCTACAGAAGAAACTTTATGCCATAGACAGACATTCATTACTTTAAGCTGTCAAATAAAAAAAGAAAAGCCAGGTTACACAAGGGTTTGTGAAACCTATGTTTGAGTAAGTCTATGTGTATTCATGCTCGACTGTGTAAAGAGACTGCAAGGATATAACCAAAAAATCACTAGTGATTATCTGTGGATGTTGGAATATCTAGTGGTTTAATACTTTGTTTTCTAAGTTTTCTACTATTAAAATGGGGAAAATAGCATATTTCATCAAATGTAAGATGCCATCAAAAGCCAGCTTTATATTATATAAATATAATTACATTACATTTCATTGGCAGACAGGCTGCTGCCAATGAAGCCCTGAAACAATAAAGCATCAAGCCATGCTGGAGCTGATGCTGAAAAGCGTTCTGATTCTAGACATGTCTTAAGGATGGGGTTAAATGAAGCTGATAGGTGAGGGAAAGGAATGAGTCAAGATCGACGCCAACCTGACACAGAAATAGTTTTTGTGGGTGGGGGATCAAGAGCCCTGACTTTTTTTTAACTATATTTCATCTAATCTAGGACATCACTGATAAGACACATCTCTACTTGAGGAACACTGAGAAGAAATGCTGACAATGAAATGCTGACCCAATGCCTTAACCACAGCACAGTGAGGTGCATAAATCAGTTATGCCAGACTTACTGCTGTAAAATCGCTCAAAGAAGCAATTTCTCCTGTCTTTAGTTTCAATGTTATGTGGTAGGTAATCCAATCACAGCTGGGTGGTTTCTTTTCCAAGAAAACATGGAATTTCAATAATTATTTCGACAACTAACATGTCTTCACTAATATCAGAATCATGCCCTACTCCCAATTCCATGCCTTTCTGTTTAAACAAGAACTTTCTGTTCAATACTGAGGCACAGAATAATTTTTATACATTTTAAATTTGGCAAGTAATCTTAAAGTATCCCTGTATCTATAAACAATACACTGTATCATACTGTAGCACAATAGACTACCACAGTCTTCCCAAATAAGGTCTGCCGATTAAGTGATATTTCCCAAAAATTGCCACCAGGCTCTTTGGCAATGCCCTCTTCTCAATGTTTGAAAACAGTAAGGTCATCTTCAAGGGCTCTCACCTGACATGGTGGTGTGGGTCTTGGCACCACCGAGCTCCTCCTGGGTAACATCCTCATTGGTCACAGACTTCACTACATCAGGGCCAGTGATGAACAGGTAGGAGGTGTCCTAAAATAAGAGATTTCCAGAACAGTTAACCTCAGAGTGCCAGAGCTGGTCAGAGCCTTAGAGCTGATTCAGTCAAGATGACAAATGCAGAGAAGATAGTGACATGGCAGAATGAGGACAGGATGTAGCTTAAAGATACGAATCCAAACTAAAGACCAAGTTTTCTCTGCCTGCCTACTTTTTTAAAATTTCTGTTGCTGATCACGAGGTCAGGAGATCAAGACCATCCTGGTTAACATGGTGAAACCCCATCTCTACTAAAAATGCAAAAAATTAGCACGTGCTTGTAGTCCCAGCTACCCGGGAGTCTGAGGCAGGAGAATCGCTTGAACCCGAGAGGTCTGGAGGTTGCAGTGAGCCGAGATCATGCCACTGCACTCCAGCCCGGGCAACAGAGCGAAACTGTTTAAAAAAAAAAAAAAAAAAAATCTCTGTTGCATGGTTCTGTCTCAGCAAATTAACTTGCAGTGTGGCTAACATCTCAAGGTCATTCTTCTGTAGAACACAGTTAACAGGTGGCTCTTACTTCGAGCTTGCTGTGCACCAACAAGTTTTTTAAACATGTCACAGGACTATGTCACTAAAGCCTAAGTAGTATTATCAACCTCATTTACATATGAGGGAACTGAGATATGGAGACTGTATGCAACCAGTCACCTTAAATGAAGCTACTTAAAAATACTGATTAATCAGTGGGACACAGTGGCTCATGGCTGTAATCCCAACATTTTGGGAAGCCAAGGCAGGAGGATCACCTCAGGTCAGGAGTTCAAGACCAGCCTGGTCAACATAGTGAGACCCAGTCTCCATAAAAATGTGTTTCAATCAGGTAAGCCTAAAGGCATGTGCCTGTAGTCTTAGCTACTCAGAAGGGTGAGGTAGGACAATCATTTGAGTTGCAGTAAGCTATGATTGCTTGCAACACTGTACTCCAGCCTGGATCAGAAGGCAAAAACCTATCTCAAAAACAAAAACAAAAACAAAAAACAATAAATGCTTTGGTATTATGAGAGAACGACAGGCTTTTAATTTTCAGTTTCTAATATATAGATAATACAAGCATACTGCATATAATTTAAACAGAATAGGAGATACAGTGGAAAGTAAGTCTACAGCCCAACCCTTACTTCTAGGCCTCCAATTCCCCTCCCCAAAAGCAACTGCTGTCAGTTTCTTCTCTCCCCCTACAGAGACACCCATGCATCCATGAGCATTTATATACACAGACACACACACACACACACACGCCCTCTTATTTTCTAACACAAACATTATCTTTCTAACACAAACACTTTCGAATGCAAATATTTTCTTTCCAACATTCTAACATAAACAGTGTTCTACACACACTGTTCTCAAATCTGCTTTTCAAGCTAGAATATCATTCCATTCCATATCAGTACACTAGGATTTGTATCATAATTTAACTTTCACCAACTGACGGTCATGAAAGTTGTTTCCAAAACTTTAGTATAAGAAATTCTGCAGCCGGGTGCAGTGGCTCATGCCTGTAATCCCAGCACTTTGGGAGGCCGAGGCGGGCGGATCACGAGGTCAGGAGATCGAGACCATCCTGACTGTGAAACCTTGTCTCTATTAAAAATAAATAAGTAAATAAAAGAAATCCTGCAATAAATATTACTACTGGGCTCTCTGAACTCACTATTCATGTTCTTTGCCCATTTCTAATAGATCATTGGCTTCTTTATATACTAAAGAAATTAGTCCTTAGTCTATTATATGCCTTATATCAATCTTATCTTATGGCTTCTTGGTTTGAGATCTTGAGAGAAAGGTCCAGCTAGAAAGGTCTTCCCCACTTCACACACAGACTTCTAAACAAATGTTTACAGCAGCCTTATTTGAAACTGTTAAAAAACTAGAAACACAGAATTTCAGGTTTCCAGTCTAGCACATAAGAAGCTGGAAGTTGATACTCCTTCCTAACAAATAAAGCTGAAGAAGTTGGGGGAAAAATGTCAACAGCTTTTCTTAGATCCATCAGAGAGGTGTGAGGTCACAGAACAAGGTACTCCGAAACAGGAGACTGACAGGCAAATGCAGAAAATTGAGCCCTGCAGGACAGAAACCCACAAGCACAAATCTCCCCTGGAGGATCACATGAGCCCAGGCATTCAACACCAGCCTGGGCAAGACAGCAAGACTCCATCTCAAAAAAAAAACAAACAAAATGCTAACGGCTCTCACGGATAGAGTAGACAGCAAGCAAGAACAAATGAGCAATGTAAGCAGAGAAACAGAAATTTAAAAAAATAATAACTGGCTGGGCGCGGTGGCTCATGCCTGTAATCCCAGCACTTTGGGAGGCCAAGGCAGGTGGATCATGAGGTCTGGAGATCGAGACCATCCTGGTCAACATGGTGAAACCCCGTCTCTACTGGAAACGCAAAAATTAGCTGGGCATGGTGGTGCGCGCCTGTAGTCCCAGCTACTTGGGAGGCTGAGGCAGGAGAATTGCTTGAACCCAGGAGGTAGAGGTTGCGGTGAGCCAAGATCATGCCATTGCACTCCAGCCTGGGTAACAAGAGCAAAACTCTGTCTCAAAAAAAAAAAAGAAAAAAGAAATAACAAAAAATACCGGGTATTGGCAACAATGCAACAGAAATAAAGAAAGCATTTGATATGCTTTTTAGCAGACTGGGCACAATTGAGGAAAGAATCGCTGAGTTTGAGACTATCTCAAGAGAAGTCACCCAAATTGAAAAGCAAAGAGAAAAACAATTGGATTAAAAATAGAAAACTGGAGGCTGGGCAAGGTGGCTCACACCTGTAATCCCAGCATTTAGGGAGACCGAAGTGGGTGGATCACAAGGTCAGGAGATCGAGACCATCCTGGCCAACACGGTGAAAACCCGTCTCTACTAAAAATACAAAAATTAGCCAGGCATGGTGCTGCATGCCTGTAGTCCCAGCTACTCGGGAGGCTGAGGCAGGAGAATTGCTTGAACCCAGGAGCAGAGAGCTGAGATCACGCCATTGCACTCTAGTCCAGGTGACAGTGGAAGACCACAGAGCTAGGAAGCTCAGACCATCAAGCAAGATGAATGCAAAAAAAAAAAAACAAAAAACCATACACACACAGAGAAAGCTAAGCGTAGTGGTACACCTGGTGTCACAGCCATTCATGAGGCTGAGGCATGAAGATCACATGAGCCCAGGAATTTGAAACAGCCTGGGAAACACAGGGAGACCCCATCTCTAAAAAGACAAAAACCAAAACACAAAACTACACTTAGGACATTATTTCCAAACCACAAAAAAAAGCAAAGATAAAGAAGAAATCCCAGCCAAGTGTGCAGGCTCACCCTGTATCCCAGCACTTTGGGAGGCCAAGGCAAGCAATCACAAGGTCAGGAGTTTAAGACCAGCCTGGCCAATACAGTGACACCCTGTCTCTATTAAAAATAGAAAAATTAGCCAGGCGTGGTGGTGCGCACTACTTAGGAGGCTGAGGCAGAAGAATTGCTTGAACCCGGGAGGTTGAGGTGGCAATAAGCCGAGATTGTACCACTACACTCCAGTCTGGGTGACAGAGCAAGACTCCGTGTCAAAAAAAAAATCCCAAAGGCAGCCACAAGAAAAAGCACTTTGTCTATAGAGGACCAAAAATAAGAATTATATCCAACCTTTTTTTAGAATCCAGGCAAGGAGAGCAGAATTCAATATTTAAAGTGTTGAGGGGCAAGATCTTAACCTAGAATTCGGTACCCAGAAAAATTATTCTTCAAAAGGAAAGGAAAAATAAAGACCTTCTCCAACAAAACTTCAGGTAATCTCTTGCCAGTAGACCTGCCTTGCAAAAAACATTAAGCAAAAATCTTTTTTTTTTTTTTAAGTAAGTAGTTGTGATGAATCAAATGGTCCACAAGGCCTGAAAGCAAAATTCTTTAGAGAAAAGGTAAATGATAAAGATCAGAAACTTATATCTACATAAAGAACGAACACTCGAGAAGGAATAAACGAAGGTAAAATGAGAACTTTTGGTTCAAGGTAATAGCAAAAATATATATTCAATTATGTACACATTGCTTCTTGGCCTTTTGGCTAAGACCAAGCAAATTATGTACACATATTTCATAAATATGATATGACGAACAGGAGGAAGGAATTAGAATTATTTTGCTGTTATACGGTATTCATGCAACCTGGAAAGCAGTACAGTGTTATCTGAAACGAACTTAAAACAGCTGTAAATTTTATTGCAACCTCTAAGGCAACCACTAAAGAATGTAAGAAAAAAAAGTATAGCTAACATTCTAATCAGGTAGGAAAATATTGAATCATAAAATGCTCAATTAAAATCACAAAACGCAGAGGAGTGGAAGACAAAAATAAGAACAAATACAACAAAAAGGAAACAAACAAATATGGTAGATATTAATCCAACTATACCAGTAGTCTCTCTGAATGTCAATGGTCTAACTGTATCAATTAAAAGACAGACTGTCAGAGTGGATCAAGAAACAAGACACAACTCTAAGGGTTGTCTACAAAAAAATCCCACTTGAAACAAAAGACATATAAAGATTAAAAGTAAATAAATGGAGCTGGGCACGGTGGCTCAAGCCTATAATCCCAGCACTTTGGGAGGCCGAGGTGGGTGGATCACGAGGTCAAGAGATCGAGACCATCCTGGTCAACATGGTGAAACCCCGTCTCTACTAAAAATACAAAAAATTCACTGGGCATGGTGGCGCGTGCCTGTAATCCCAGCTACTCAGGAGGCTGAGGCAGGAGAATTGCCTGAACCCAGGAGGCGGAGGTTGCCGTGAGCCGAGATCGCACCATTGCACTCCAGCCTGGGTTACAAGAGCAAAACTCCGTCTCAAAATAAATAAATAAAAATAAAAATAAAATAAAATAAAAAATAAATCAGCCGGGCATGGTGGTGCATGCCTGTAATCCCAGCTACTCAGGAGACTGAGGCAGGAGGATCACTTGAACTCAGGAGGCAGAGGTTGCAGTGAGCCAAGATTGTG